GTTGGTACACCAGAGGGCTCATACGGGAGACAAACCCTTTGAATGTCGTTATTGTGGGAAACATTACAGTCAGAATTCCCAACTGGTGATACACCAGAGGGCTCATACAGGAGAGAAACCCTTTGAATGTCCTCTCTGTGGAAAAAGTTTTAGTGCTAATTCCAACCTAGTGAAACACCAGAGGACTCATACAGGAGAGAAACCCTTTGAATGTCCTATCTGTGGGAAAAGTTTTAGTGCTAATTCCAACCTAGTGAAACACCAGAGGACTCACACAGGAGAGAAACCCTCTGAATGTCCTACTTGTGGGAAAAGTTTTAGTTGTAATTCCTCACTGTTGGTACACCAGAGGGCTCATACAGGAGAGAAACCCTTTGAATGTCCTACTTGTGGGAAAAGTTTTAGTTGTAATTCCACACTGGTGGTACACCAGAGGGCTCTTACAGGAGACAAACCCTTTGAATGTCCTACTTGTGGGAAACGTTTTAGTTGTAATTCCACACTGGTGGTACACCAGAGGGCTCATACAGGAGACAAACCCTCTGAATGTCCTACTTGTGGGAAACGTTTTAGTTGTAAATCCTCACTGTTGGTACACCAGAGGGCTCATACAGGAGAGAAACCCTTTGAATGTCCTACTTGTGGGAAAAGTTTTAGTTGTAATTCCACACTGGTGGTACACCAGAGGGCTCATACAGGAGAGAAACCCTTTGAATGTCCTACTTGTGGGAAAAGTTTTAGTTGTAATTCCACACTGGTGATACACCAGAGGGCTCATACAGGAGACAAACCCTTTGAATGTCCTTATTGTGGGAAACATTACAGTCAGAATTCCCACCTGGTGATACACCAGAGGACTCATACAGGAGAGAAACCCTTTGAATGTCCTATTTGTGGGAAAAGTTTTAGTAATAATTCAAGCCTGGTGAAACACCAGTTGATTCACACAGGAGAGAAACCCTTTGAATGTCCTATCTGTGGGAAAAGTTTTAGTGCTAATTCCAACCTACTGAAACACCAGAGGATTCACACAGGAGAGAAACCCTCTGAATGTCCTACTTGTGGGAAAAGTTTTAGTTCTAATTCCTCACTATTGGTACACCAGAGGGCTCATACGGGAGACAAACCCTTTGAATGTCCTATTTGTGGGAAACATTACAGTCAGAAATCCCACCTGGTGATACACCAGAGGACTCATACAGGAGAGAAACCCTTTGAATGTCCTATCTGTGGGAAAAGTTTTAGTGCTAATTCCAACCTAGTGAAACACCAGAGGACTCACACAGGAGAGAAACCCTTTGAATGTCCTACTTGTGGGAAAAGTTTTACTTATAATTCCCAACTGGTGATACACCAGAGGGCTCATACAGGAGAGAAACACTTTGAATGTCCTACTTGTGGGAAAAGTTTTAGTTGTAATTCCACACTGGTGGTACACCAGAGGACTCATACGGGAGAGAAACCCTTTGAATGTCCTATTTGTGGGAAAAGTTTTAGTAATAATTCAAGCCTGGTGAAACACCAGTGGATTCACACAGGAGAGAAACCCTTTGAGTGTGTTAGGAATAACAAGGTTACCTAACGTAGTTTGGGTAAAATAATATATATAAACTATTATAGTAAGTTTAAGTGTGTGTCACTTTAAACTGCAAAGCATGTAATTTTGGGTGTGGTTGTGAAAACGCCATAAGAGGAAGCAAGAGAACTTGCTGGATTACTGTTTGCCTGTTTGCTGATTGCTGGATTGCTAACTGCGTGTTCCCTGCTGCTGAGTTTTTGAACGTCGAAGGAAGAAAGGAGGTTTGACTTCTTCATATCTCTACTGCGAGGAGATATATTACTGGACTGATATTTGTAAGTTTACTGACCTCTTTTTCGATACTGGACTTTGCAACTGAATAATTCCCAGACGGACTGAACTAGTGAATGATATATGGACTGTTTTGACTATGCTAAAACTCTTACTGGAATAAACTATTTAACTAGCACAGTGTATCTGTTTTACTGAGTGTAAACTACAAAAACGTTTATCTCACATATTTGCCTGCCTGCATGACTGCCGTGCACATTCTGCTAGGGTGTATCCCTAACACTGGTAATAGGCCCAGCTGCACAGTCAGACTAACCAGGATATAACAGGCTTATATAAAGTGAGAGTTAGTGTAGTTACACAATACTGTAAACACACAGCTGTGTTTTATTAATTATAGTTTAATATCCAGAGAAAGATGGCACAAGTCAATTTACCAAGTTTGTCTCTAATATCCAAACTGGATGGAACAAACTATGTTTCATGGTCTATGAAATGCAGCCTACTTCTACGCAGGGAAGGTTTGTGGAGTATAATTCAAAACCCACCAGAGGTAGATGATTGGAATCCGGAGGATGAGGATGATACCCAGAAAATACAAGAATATAAAATGAAGAATGAGCAAGCTCTCTGTATAATAGGACTGACACTCTGTGACCAGCAGCTTGTCCATATTCGTGGAGAAGAAACAGCTGCGAAATGTTGGGAGAATTTAAAGAAGATTTATGTTCGAGACAGTGTAGGAGCACATATAAATCTTACACGGAAGCTGTTCAGAACACATGTTCAAAAGAATGGAGACATGTTGACTCATTTAAACACTATGAAGAACTTGAACGCGCATAATCAATTTAAAAAACCCTTGCAACTGTCTTAGGCAGAGATGGATCAACATGGTTTTCAGCTTTATGTCACTAAATAGCGCACTACAGATAAGCAACGGCCACAATGGACAATTGTAGAGCATTGGTAACTGAGGCGTAAGGAGTTTAAACATTTGCACAGTAGATTCCTAGAGAGGATTTGGAGGAAAGGAGAACAACAGCAGGAGAGCTTCCTCTTCTTGCT